CACATCCCTGGGGCACTGGATTCCCGGGGTCCCACATTCCTGGAGCACTGCATCCATGGGGTACCGCATCCCTGGGGTCCCACATTCCCGGGGCACTGCATCCCTGGGGTCCCACATCCCCAGGGTCCCACATCCCACTCCATCTCACCCAGGTCTGCGATGCAGCACTGCCGGTTGCTTTTCACCAGGATGTTCCTGCTCTTCAGGTCACGGTGGGCAATGGCGGGCTTGCCCTGGGTGCCGAAGATCTCCACATGGAGGTGGACGAGGCCGCAGATGATGGAGGAGGCCAACCCTAGGCAGGTCTCCACGTCCAGAGCCGTCCTCTGCAGGTAGTCGTAGAGCGAGCCGTTCTCGTGGTAGTGGGTGATGAGCCAGAGCTGGGTGCTGGAGTTCCTTGACGTCATGTCGGAGGCAATGAAGCCTGGATGGGGAGAAGAGCCAGGGCCGTGAAGCCACTGCGCAGCCCCCCTCCGGTCCCCCTGGCCCCCCACTCACCCAGGATGTTGTCATGACGGAGGAGGACGGTGTTGTAGATCTCCGTCTCGCGGAACCACGACTGCTCGTCCCGGGAGGAGAAGATCTTCACGGCCACGCTCTCCCCGTGCCACACGCCTCGCCATACCTCACCATAGCGTCCTTTGCCTGCCATGGCCACAGCACCACGTCACGCAGCTCCTCCAGCCCCCGGTGCCCTCCCCATGCCCAGCGTGACGAAGCCAGCTCCCGGTGAGGAAGAGCAATGGAGGAGGGTCCATTGACCTTGGCCAACTGCCACCCACGCACCCAGCCGCTCTCTCCCTCCCTCATCAGCAGGACAGGGGGACAACTCAGGACCTCTACGGGGTTTGGGCTGAGACCGTCGGGTCCAACCCTTGCCTCATGGGCCTGGCATCGCGGTGCCATTGCTGGCTGCTGGGGAAAAGGGGTCCGGCACGTGGCCAAGCACCGGCTGGGGGGGTCGGGGTACTCCACGAGGGTGATCTGCCGAGCCACTGTTCGCTGGACGAGGAAGGGCAGCCCCGAGCCGCTGCCCGTGGTACAGTCGTCGTTCATCAAGTCCTGCGCAGCCGGGGCGGCAACGGCGTCAGTCCGGCGGCCACCCCACACCCGGCACATCCCTCCCTCCCGCGCCTTGGGGCAGTTGGGATCCCCCTCTCGGAGCTCACCCCCACGAGGGTGATCTGCCGAGCCACTGTTCGCTGGACGAGGAAGGGCAGCCCCGAGCCGCTGCCCGTGGTACAGTCGTCGTTCATCAAGTCCTGCGCAGCCGGGGCGGCAACGGCGTCAGTCCGGCGGCCACCCCACACCCGGCACATCCCTCCCTCCCGCGCCTTGGGGCAGTTGGGATCCCCCTCTCGGAGCTCACCCACCTCTAAAGTGCTGTCTCCCACCATGGATGCCTTCAGCATGAGGTCCATGTCCCCCAAGTCGCTTTGCTTGTGGCGGTGCTGGGCCACCTTCCAGCAGAAGAGCGCCGTGAGCGCCGCGAGGACGAGGAGGGAGAACAGCGGGACGAAGATCATCAGGAGGAGGTTGGACAGGGAAGGCACTTTTCCCAGGGCCTCTTCTCCTGGGTGGAGGAAATGATGGATGGGAACATGAAGGTGGACCTGGGAGGGTGGAGGTCTTGGTGCCTGGGCTTGGACCTGGGGATGGTGGAGGCCTCGGTGCTCGGACTTGGACCTGGGGAGGGTGGCTCTGCATTGGGGTCAGCCCCGTGGATGGCAGCTCTGCAGGCACAGCCCGAGAAGAGACCCTGAGGACATCTCGCTGGCCCTGTCCCACCTGGGAAAGCGTGACCCTCGAGGTGACGCGTGAGGACAGGGATGATCTGGAGACCCAACCACACCTCCAGCCGCCTGGGCAGCTCTGCCCCTCTCCCCCCGGCTCCATCAAAGGGGACCGTGCCCCCGTACCTTGCAGGAAGATCTCCAGCTCGGCGTTGCACATGTTGGAGTCACAGCACCTCATGCCGTACTGCTCCATCACGGGCGTGTGGCAATTCTCCAGGATGTTCTGGGAGAAGCAGCCCCTGTGCTGGGTGATGGTCCCCTCCTCCTTCCTCTTGCTGACGAAGCACACCTTGCCCCTGCAGGTGGGCAGGCTGCAGTGCGGCACGTCGCAGGCGCAGAGCAGCTCATCTGCGGGCACAAGGAAGGGGCACGTTGTGCCATGGGGCCACCCCACTGCCTGGCCCGGGGCACGCTGGTGGCTTTGGGGACAGTGACGTCTGTCCTAAAGACCCTTGAACCAAATTTCAAGAGCGGGCAGCCTGGGATCACCATGGGCCGGGCTGGGGAAGGTGGCTGTGGGTGCTAAGCACAAGGAAGCCCATCCTGAGACCTCCTGGAAAATCGCTTGCTCCCAGCTGGGACCCAAGCACCAGCCCCAAAGGTGGGGGGTCGCCTGTCCCTGCATCCCTGGGGAGTCAGCGGAGGGGCTGTGCCCCCAGCCCCACCAGCTGGGATTAACTGGGATGCACTGGATCACAGCACGCAGGGTCACACCCTGCCCGTGGGGTCCCACGAGACGTGGGAGCACCCTGCTCTGGGAGCCAGGATGGGACCAAAAGCCCCAAACTCAGCTGCTGCCTCCCCAGCGGGTGCTGTGGGGACGCTGTGTTTTGGGAGCTGGGTGCTGAACCCGGGGGTCTTTCCTGGAGCTAAAGGCGCTTCCCTGTGCCGCGGTGCCGGAGTGGCACAGAGGGCGGCCACGCTCCCAGCCTCCCGATTTAGCTCTGCCCTTTCGCGCAGAAAATATCCCTCCTGGAATCAGCGAGTTCAGCGCGAGGGCAGCCAGCCAGACGGCGGCAAGGGGACGGACGGATGGCAGCGAGGGGGTGGACGGCTGTGGCCCCCCTGCTCCTGTTGCCCCCCCTGCCCCAAAGGCTGCCCGGTGCCAGGGCCACGGGGTGGTGGTGGGGCTGGGTCAGTAAGCCCCAGGAGTTGCTGGCCCCATGGGCAGGATGGGGACCCGGTGGGGACTCGTCCCCCTGAGGAGTTCTGCTCCTCCTCCCCGGCACAGCCGCGCTGCTTTGGTCCTCCCTGCACAAGCACCCAGCCTGGATCCATCCCCAGGTCACCCTGGTGCTCCCCTGGGACCACGAGCAGCTCGTCCCTGCTCCCCGCCACCAGCACCGTCACCCCTGGGAGAAAGCACGTTTCGAAGCACGTGCACGCAAGCCTTTTCCACATCTCCCCTCCGGTGACATCAAAGCACTTGACGAACCGTAATTAATTAAGCTGAGAGCCTCTCTGGGAGGCAGGTCACCGTCCCAGAGGGGAGAAGCCCCTTGCTGGGGACGGCGCAGGTCCCCAAGGAGCCCGGCCTCCCTCGGCGCTCGCTCCAGGCGAGCTCGAACGAGCTGCCCCTCCGCGACGGTTTATTTCGAGCAGAGCGAGCGATGAGGTTCCCAAAGAGCCGAGGGTTT